GAAAATGACTAGTCCAAATGAAAAACCGTTACAACCTTTACCCTATAAGCCGGGAGATTTGGTTTTTATTCACAGGTTTGATTCCAAGACCCTGGAACCCCGTTGGAAGGGACCGGTTCCTGTTGTCCTGTCAACTCCCTTGGCGATGAAGGTGGCTGGACATTCTGCCTGGATACATCACAACCATCTAAAGCCAGGACCCGCCGCGGACATCAAAAAGGACAAATGGAAGATTATCAGCCAACCGGGCGACCAAAAGCTAAGATTGGAGCGGGTTGGAAATGCTTCACCTTCATGATAATATTTACCAGGATATTGACAGTATTGCCCTCAGGAGAGTTAGATCACACAAAAAATATATGGATTCAATTGGCAAACTCGCTTAACCTATCTGAATTCTGTTTAAGTGTTGATGTAAATTTTCATTATGTATTAGGAAGTTGTCTTATCCCGGTATGCACCCCTTTAGAGTCAATACGGCCTTATACTCTGTTTAAAGATATTCCACAAAAGAAACTTGCTTATGTAGATAGTTATAATTGGGGACCTGTCACATGTCATAAGCCTAAAAATGCTGTCAAATTATATACACCTAAAGTGATCATGTCAAATAAGACTGAATGTGCTGTGTATAAAAATTGTACAACTAAATGTTTGAAGATCAAACGGTTAAAAGAAATGTCCTGCCGAGTAGAACAGAAAATTGTATATAACAACTGCCATATTTCCCTGCCAATGGGATGGTTTTATACCTGTGAAGGAGAAACTTTCAACTACATTCCAGCCAATTTGACTAAAACTCGTTGTTGTTTAAGTCGATTAGCTGTAGTATTACCAGATAGAACTGATTTAATTGTGCCTAACAGAACTAAACGGTGGTCACCTTACACTGCACCAGGATGCGATGATGACATGGGTCTGTTAACAGATGCAGAAGTATTAACCATGATAGCATCTTTTGTTGCCTTGCCGTCTATAGGAGTACATGCTGAAAAAGCAGTACGAAAATTAGCTTGTAAAGTAGTAAAAGGGTTAAATGCCACTTCGTCAGCCTTGGTGCTAATCAACCAAGAATTACAAGAGCAAAGGCAGGCAATCTTAGACAATAGAACAGCAATAGATTACCTGTTGCTCTTCCAACACCAAGGTTGTGAAAAAGTAAAAAATATGTGTTGCTTCAATCTAACTGATAATGGTCCAAAAATTAAGGAAGAGATAGAACAATTAAAAGATCTGGCAAAAAAGGTACATGATAAAAATGGCGGGGATTTGTTTAAATGGTTAACTTCGTGGTTACCCAACCTACAATGGTTAAAACAACTATTCATTGCCATTATAATCATATGTATTTGCTTATTATTATCATGCTGTTATATACAATGGATGCCTACATTTATGCGTAAGATTACAGAAAATCAGTGGGGAATGTGGGATTGTATGATTCAAAATTTATGTATCCCCTTGAACTGTGTTATGTCTAATGGCTAAAATGTTTTTGCTAGTCTTAAAATAATAGATATCCTAAGTAAATCATTCAACCCCTTGTTTGTCCGGAGAACAAAAATTCCCGGACCCACTATCGGTAGAACAATCCATCACTGTGTCTACTGATCATCAGTACGTGACGGTCGTGACCATATGGTCGTGACCATTACTGTGTGTCTGCTGACCGTTAGTACGTGACAGTCGACCACCAACCTTTGTTCCTTTTTTCCCGTAAATCTACATGTTAACCTCCCCCTCAACCCCCTATAAAAATAGCCTCGGACTCTGAGCCAGTTGCCTCTCTTAGCTACTTTGCTTTGGGAGTGCCGTCTGGCCAGACTAATAAAGGTCTGTTTTACTTTCCAACTTGACCGGTGTGTTCCTTCCCGGGTGATCGTCGCTGTAGTCAGCTCCTCGGAGCGTTTGGTAAGGCCCTCGGTCTTACAGTCATGAATGAACCATTTGCAGAAAAAGAAATACAGAGTTAATAAAATAAGAGTGCTTCAGTAACACATACAAAAACAATAAAATATGATACAATATTTCGCTAATCAAATTGCACAGGTGAAAAATAGGGTAATAAAGTTTGGGCAGAGAATGGAGAACAGAGGAAGCCTACTTGAAGGAAATGTTGGATATCACAAAAATCTGTAGTAGCTGCTTCATTTTGATCTCCCCGTAGCCCAGCCTGTTTAATAGTCACTCCTAAATGCATCCATCAAAATGTATTTGGAATCCTCTCTGAGTGGTGACAGACAGTATTAAGGCACTTTTAATGCTTCTTTTATATTTTTCAAATATTTCAAAATAAATATGTATACTTTTATAATGGAAAAACAAACTAAAAACTAAAAAATTAAAATTAAGTGACAAGACAGAACAACACCACAAAAAGACAAGACATATTAGTAAAGGGTGTAGAGGAAATGGCTCCAGAAAAATAGAGAAGAACCAAGATGAAAATTTTAAAAGGGAGAGGTGTGGCTTACATGCCTATGTAATCCTATTGCAGATAGGTAAGTTAGATATTTTGTAGGCAGTTGGATAGGGGCAGCCCAGGAGGAGCCAACATGGAGGACAGTCAAGGAGCCAACATAGAGGACAGTCAAGACACATTTACTGAAGGCCAGAATTGTAAAAGGAGAGAAACTACCACAAGCATGTAGGATGAATAGCAGTGATTGATATTCTAAATAGGTATCAATCACCTGGGTGGGGGAGCAAGATCTTCCAAGAAAGATCCCTGACCCACCCCTTTCCACTGAAAATCCTTGCTCAGTTCCTTGTATGCTTTCTACGTGACTTGTTTCCCCATTTAATCAATATTACCTGGGTGACTGTACTTGTAATCTTATTGGTTGATCATGGTTTTGCCCCACCTCATGCCTACTTTGTAAATTTCCATTAAGTCTTATAGTTTTGTCCACTTTGTACCCACCTCACCACATGGCTTTGCTGTGTAAAACATCTTTGAAAAGTGGGGTGAGCAGGCAACCCACTTTCCAGTCCCCCTTCTGTCTCTCTTAGAACCTTTCTTAATAAAATTATCCTACTCTTAACCTCTGTTGTTCCTAGAATTCATTCTTCCATTTTAGAGAACTCGAACTCATGTTTCAGATACCTAGCAGGTTTGGGAGTTACATCTCTTCCCCCTATATCAATCCTAGTATAGTACTCAGAAGGATGATCATTACGAATTTGATCATTACTGAGTTCAAGGATGGTTGTAAAGAGTTCGAGACCAGCCTGAACTACAGAGTGAGACCCTGTCTTAAGAAACAAAGAACCAAGATACATCCTGTAATGGTACAAGGTCCTAATAATGAATGTAATTGTATTGTATACCTAAAATGTACCAATAATAAACTAAATAAAAAAAAAAAGAAACAAGCTCACAAACAAATCAAAAGGGAAGTGAAATGTCTCCTATTTATGTCTAATGAGTCAGACATTATATCTGTGTATCTGTGGAAATGCCTTTTGTCTTTCTCCCTCTTCATTTTCATGTCCTCCTATAGTAGTGCCCACGCATCACCTCTCCCATAGAAGACTGCAGTGACCTCGTAATTGATGTGTTTTCCTGGTATCCAGCTCCATACCACTGACAGGGCCATCTTCTCAAAACTCTTCTCTCTGTTCATCTTTCCTCAGCTGTTCCAAAACAACTCCCAGAATGGGTCAGGACAATTTTCTTTTGTCTCTTACAAGGCCAAGGTTAACTTTTCTTGGGCTCTTGCTCATTTCCAACACCTCAAAGCAACTTTTAGTTTAAGCTGTTACCATTTCCTGGAGCTCACCTGGGTCCCTGTTTTCTCTCCCTTCTCTCATTTGAGGACAATAGCTGTTGGTTTGGTAGTTGATTACATGTTAAATAGTTATCTTCTTTCTCATGTGTCAAGAATTTTATACTGCACAAGTAATGGGTATATCTTCATGTGACATACTACATTAGTCAGCACATGACATCAGAAAAATACTATTGAATTGATTGTATCTAAATAATTATCATGGACCTATTTAATCTGACAACTCATTACCAAAGCTTCAAGATGCTGAAAGTTAAATCAGGCCATTGGTTCTTTTCCTGAACCTGGTAAATTTTCTAAATCATCTTTACCCTTTTTTATTTTTTTTTCACTTCAGATTATGTGATCGTGTGAAAATAATTTAACACCATAATGTCTTAAATAGAATATGATGGTAAACTTAGATAAAACCCCCAACTTAAATCCATGTGTATTTATTTGCAATGAAAAGAAACATTTCCAGGTTATTATCATTTTAAAAATTACTTCTGAGTCTCCAAACAAGGGTTATTAAAAATATAGGAAACTTATTCATACCTCCTCTTACTCTACCACCTAGGAAAATCTCTTTTAATCTCTCTGAACAGATGAGATAAAATAAATTAGAGGCCCATGTGCTTTTGCACATTTAATTTTTAAAAAATATAAGTAAATTTATCCCGATTCCACATATACCAAATATCAATTAAAGTGCAAATAGAGAGAGAAATTAGATCGAGATCAAGGGTTTTTCTCCAGTCCACAAAAGGGCCACATCCAATAGAACTGACAAACACTGAATATTTCTGTGAGCTGCATTATTTCAGAAGTCCATGACATAGTGTATCGATTGGGTCTGACCTCATTAAGAACAGTACTGATCACAGTACTGGTCTACCTTTAGTTTAAAAGGACTTTTAAAAAAAATCCTATTTGACTTCCATAGAAACTCACTGATAGGGTTGACAGGTTTTTCTTACTCCCTAGCCCTCTTCTACTGAAACTTTTGACTCTATTGCTCTCTGCAGCAGCAAGGCTGGGGTGTAGGCTCTCTGACCAGGGCCTGGCTAGGGCTGAAGCCCAGCATGAGTCTCTGGAAGGTCCTGACCTTCAGAGGCAGCTAAGCTCTTCTGCCCCTTGCCCCTCTCTCTTCTCTCCACAGCTTATTTCACCCCCCTGAGCCATGCCGTCCTCACTCCCCCATTACTTTTTAAGATATAAAACTATGCAGAATCAGGTATTTCCCTACCATTGGGCTGGCAGGCTATGGCAGCGAGAGCCAGGCTGTTCTGCTGGCGGCAGCAACAAAGGAAGGTTCATGGCTGGAACTCAAAACTCACTTCCCCATGGAAACTGTGGTGTACTGTTAGGTACATTCTATAATTTGTTTAGAACTTCAGATGAGATGCATGGCTCAAATGGACTTTGGTCAGTTCTCCTGACTTGTACTGAAAGATGGCTCTGAGTTCCTAACAATCATCCATACATTATCTTCATACAGAGGGAGCCTCAGGGGATAAGCCTAAATTGTTTGTCTGCTGTGGATCCCATTGAGAGGCTGTGCTCACCCCTCAAGGCTCCTGAGCTGTGAGGGAAGCCAGGATTCCTGAGAGTGAGCAGCCCCAAAGGGAAATGACAGGCCTGAGGGGTGAGTATGCACAGGTAGGTGCAAGACCTTGGAGGAGCAGGAGGTTCAGGGTAGGCAAGAATGCTGGTTTCTATGAGGCCTTTGGCCCAGCTCCTAGAGATTTTACCAGTGTTGCAATGTTCAGTTCGCTTTAGTAGACTTGTGCCAGAGCCATTGACAGGAAAGTTGTAACCAAAAGTAAAGAATTGTATCTTTAGAGTTCTCCAGGAGATGGAGGCCAAGGGTGGAGTTATCTTGTAATTATAAGAGAGCACAGCTCTGTGTGTGTGTGTGTGTGTGTGTGCGCGCGCGCGTGTGTGTGTTATCAACATTTTTGCTTCCCATAAGTTTTCATTTCTTGAATTGTTCAAAGTGGCAGTGGAAAGTGTAGCTATCTTTCTTAGATTTCTAAACTGCTGGCGGACACTTTCCTTGCCATTTGGAGTGCCTTGAAGATGAGCACCAACCTCAGTTGTTCAGTTAGAACAAAATTAATGTGCTCTTGGAGGGATACAGGAGGGAGAAAGCGAAAAGGAATTAAGAGTTATGTACCTGTACCAACTTCCCATGATAAATGTAATCTTTATGTACTGCAAACGTTTACTAATAAAAAAAAACCTAAAAAAAGCGGGGGGGGGGAACCTTATGAAGGAATGAGTAAACCAGAAATCACTGCAAGGTGGGTGAAAGAATGGTTGTGACCACTTGCCAATCTGTGTGGGGTCCTATAGGATAAGAAAGATGTTCAGGGGACCTGGGGTCCAGAGATTGAGAGAGACCTCCTCCAGATTTATCCAATAATTACTGTTGTGACAGTTCATCTCAATTGTCAACTGACTGGATTACGACACTCCTGGAGAGGTGATTTGATCATGGGAGTGCTCTACTCATCAGTGGGTTAATCCACTGATAGTCATAGGTGAATTTTATGTTATGAAGTGGGGCCCAATTGGAGGAGGTAGGGGGCTTCCTTTGGATGGTATGTTTCTAACCAGTGCTCTTTCTCTGTGCTCTGTTTCCCAGCTGCCACAAAGTAAGCAGTTGTTCTCTGCAATGCCCTTCCACCAAGATGTTCCTGCCTAGACCCAGCCGGTCATGGGCTAAACTTCTGAATTTGTGAGCCCTAATAAACCTCTCTTAGCTTTAGTTGTTGTGGGTGTCAATTATTTTGTCCCAACAGCAGGAAAGCAGACCAATACACTGTTCTTGTCACTACTTTGATTGTTCCCTAAGGAAAAGTGGCTGCTTTTAAAAAATATATATCCCTTGATGCTTCCAACATGCATAAATTAGCCACCAGTAACTGTTACTGACAGCCTGAACAAATAAAATGAAATTAAATATAGTTAGCATCTGATAAAACTAGCTGGGTGTGGTGGCCATGTCTGTAATCCCAGCCACTCAGGAGGCTGAGGCAAGAAGATCACAAGTTTGAGCACAGCCTGGACAATTAAGCCAGACCCTGTATCAAAGGATAAAAGGGGCCAGGGGGCTGGGGATTTAGCTAAGTGTTGCCACACCTGCCTTGCAAGTGCAAGGTCCTGAGTTCGATCCCTGGTGGGGGGAGTAGGTATGTAGCTCAATGTTCAGTCCCCACTACTAACAAAAAAAAATTAGCATCTGATAAAACTGAATAAGCATACTGAAGTTTAGACAACAGGCAAATAGTATTACATGCTACAATATTGAAGACACACTCTGTAGGACTGAAGTCTGACTTTAGCCTTTGTTGATCACTATAGCTGGTGTCTGACTATTCTTTGCCTTCAGGGAAACTCAATATAATTATGAAGAAAAACCAGTCATCATTACGGTAGTTTTAAATGTCAAGCAGAAGCCAAGTGTAGAGGGGGAGTGATATATATATACATGTATATATATATATACATACAGAGAGAGAGAGAGAGAGAAAGAGAGAGTCAGAGAGAGACAGAGCGTGCGTGCGGGGTGAGCAGGACAGAGAACAAGTTCTAGTGTTTTAGAATTTCATCTTGAAGTGTCTCTGCCTGTGTTTCCATTACTTGGTTCTGTGACCTTATGAAGTTATTTAAGATACTTCGATATAGGTTTCCATAACTTGCAGCCAAATAGACCTGATTCACAAAATGTTTAACATTCAACTCATCACCTTTTCCAAAGGAACAGTCTCCTATATCCTGATTAATGGTACTACTCTCCACCTGGTTCTCCACCCGGTAGCTCTAGCTACCATAACAAAATACCCTAGTCTGATAGCTTAAATGACAGGAATTTTCCTTTCTCTCTCTCTCTCTTTCTTTCTTTCTTTCTTTCTTTCTTTCTTTCTTTCTTTCTTTCCTTTCTCTCTCTGTAGGTCTCTCTGTCTCTCTCTCTGTGCTGGTAATTGGACCCAGGGACTTGTGCATGCTGGGCAAATGCTCTGCCACTGAGCTACAGCCTCAGTCTAAAAATTTATTTCTTGCAGCTGTAGAGTTTGAGAAGTCCAAGACCAAGGTTCTGGGCAGGTCTGTCCCCTGGTGAGGGCGAGGGTCCCCTTCTTGGCTTACAGATATCCTCTTCTCCCTGTGCCCTCACAAAGTAGGAGATAGAGGCACAAGGAGAGGGAAAATTGGCGTTTCCTCTTGCAGGCATTAATTCCATCATGAGGACTTCATGCTTATGATCTAAATTAACTTCCCAAAACCTCATCTCCACATATCATCACATTAGGGGTGAAAGCTTCAATATATGAAAACTAGGGTGCGGGAGCATACAATTCAGTTCATAGCATTCTCCAAGTAAAAAACCTGGGGATCATTCTGGAATTTTCCCTTCTCATCACCTTGACACTCAATGATAATCACCAGTCCTAATATTGAACCCTAAATATCCCTTTGATTTATATCCTTCTGCTTTTTCCTATTGTCACTCCTTTAGTACAGTTCACCATTAATTCTTGGCTGGGGTTTGCCATAGCCTTTACCTGGCCTCCTTTCAGTCTCATCCTTGTTGAATCCCTTCTCCGATAGCGCTAGAGGAGGATATCTGAAATGCAAATCTCACTTTATTAGTGCAATGCCCAAGTTTCCCAGGACCCAGTCCCACCCTCTTCAGTTTTTCATTTTATATTTCATTGATCAATAAAGGCTAATTATTCCACGTTCAAACCAAGTTCAGGCTCTTGCGTCAATAGCTGCAAAGGCTTTGATACTGAGGAAAGAGGTGGCCTGTTCCCATTGACTTAGTCCTCAACACAGTCTTAAATACTTCATTTAAGACTAAGTCTACATTTTTTTTTTTTTTTTTGGAAGGGGGGATCAAACTCAGGACCTTGCCCTTGTGAGGCAGGCATGGTGCCACTGAGCTAAATCCCCGACCCTAAGTCTACATTTTTTAGGTTGTTATCTAATTCCCCTCCCTCTTCAAACCCCCACCCCCACCCCACAGTAAAGCCCTACAAGAATCATTGCTACAGCCAGATTGTATAACACAGTTACCTATAACCATCCCCCATGGTAGTTTATCCAGGTCTTTCTGCAACAGATCTTTATTTCGTCTCCCTTTAGTTACGCCTACTCAAAGGTATTCCAGTCCACACTAATTTCTTGCTGTTCTAATGAGTAAGTTCTTATTGTTTGTACTACACCTTTCTGGATACTTATTAAATATTGCATTATATCTGATGCTTCATGAGTATGTCTTATCTCTACCACAAGTGTCCAAGCTCTTTAAGGGTAACACATGTCTCAAGCCTCTGCATGTGCCTAGTAGGCTGTCTTGTGTATGGCAGGTACTTGACAAATATTTGTGGATTTCCTTCTATTAGATTAATTCTCTTCCCTTATAGCAGTAGCTATAAGCAGTAGCTACATTTTGTTGAGTTTTTAAATAAACGGGTTCAGAGGAGACAAGGCCTGTAAATTTTAGCTTCCAAATGTAAAAGTTATTCAAGGTCAAAATTTTCAGCTCCCCAAAAGGGGACATTCATTTTTGTGAGGTACCTAGCAACAGTCTTAGGTTTTACTGAGAAAGTCCCAGGAGTCTGTAACTTTTATGTCAATGAAAATTAGAATTACTGAGCACAATTACAATGCTGTGGAAATCATGAATATTATAATTCATGCATCTGTAAAATTGCCATTTCAGGGTTCATGAAAGAGACAAGCTCAAGACAAAAGAGAATATGAAAACCTTGGAACCAGATTCCTGGTCACAATAAAAAAGCTACTTATTGGGCTGGGGATTTAGCTCAGTGGTTCTGCTGCCTTGCAAGCTCAAGGACCCAAGTTCGATCCCCGGTACCACACACAAAAAAAAGCTACTTATTTAAGGCAGTCTAGGACTATACTTTTTTTTTTTTTGTGCCAGGGATCGAACTCAGGTCCTACCACTTGTGCAGCAGGCAGCGAAACCACTGAGCTAAATCCCCAGCCCTAGGACTATACTTTTTAATACTGTTTACATATATTCCTACTTACTTCAGAGTTTTGCCTTAAATTGCAGCTGGTGAGCATAGAAACTCTTCTGGTATTTACATCTTATTTTTCTGTGCTCAGGACTCTCTATTTTCATAGCTTTATTATGATTTTAATGAGAATTTTAGTCAACTCCGATCAACTTGATATATAAAGAATTTTCCTTCTAAAGATCTTAGACATAGGTGTCATTTTACTTATTCTTCCCTAGAGTTATGATTCTTTCTATTTTAAGTGACAGAATACTTGGCTTATGCAGAAAGTTAATTTATTGGGTCATTTTAAGTTGAAAGTTTAGAGCTAGATCAAGCTTCAGGCACAGGTGGAGTTAGAACTCAGAAGATATCGTAATAAATGGTTTCTCAGCCAGGCATGCTGGTGCAAGCCTGTAATCCCTGCAGCCCGGGAAGTTGAGGCAGGGTGATGGCAAGTTCAGCCAAGCCTGGGCAACTTAGTGACTTAGTGAGACTAAAATAAATAAATAAATAAATAAATAAATAAATAATAATAAAAAAAAGGAATGAGGATATAGTTCAGTGCAAAGACCTTGTGTTCCGTCTCCATACCACACATACTGATTTCTCATCATCTTTATCTTTTGCCTTTAGTCCTAATGTCACATGGCAGCAAGAGGATAGCAACAGTCCCAGGATCTGTATCTCTTCAAATTTCAAGGCAGCAAGAATGATACTCTCTTTCCTCTAAGTCTCAGTCAGTGCATTTCATTAGCCCTCAGAGGTTATGTACCTACCCCTAAACCAGTCACCATGGCCATCATGATTTAAAAGGGGTGGGGAGTCAGAGCAGGAATAAATGTAAACTATTTCACCAGAATCTCATGAATTGATAGTGTGGGTGAATTAATATTTGCTTTTCCAGACATTCACTTACCAAACTCTAAGAAACTATCAACCTTTTTGACCACATCTTCTTTTCATATATTTCCTTAGTTTTTATGATGCTTCAGAATCCTTCTCCCTGTTTCTTCTGGTCCTTAACTCTTCCAGTCTCTCAAGGTGAGGTGCTAAGTAGTCTTTTACTTGGACTCCCTTCTAAGTGATTTCATTCATACCCAAGACTTTAATGACTAAAAACCAAGATTTGAAGCTTTCTTTCAAAACCAGAGGAAATCCTATACTCTCTACCTCTGTACAATTGCCCATTTGACTTTTCTACTTGCTTTTCTTAAAATCACTTCAAACTCACGATGTTTAAACCACATCTCCTGTCCCTCAAACAAATGTACTCCAAGTACATTGTTTCTTATTGCAGTGGACTGTAGTACTCATGATCCCTTTCAGCAAGACAAAACATAAGCATCATATTTAACTTTCACCCCTCATTGCTCAGATGATTACCAAGTTCTACAAACTTTACTTTTTTCAATTCTTTTTACATTTATAGCCATGTCCTTAGTCCAAGTCATTTTCTTCCTTCATCTAATTACTATACAATTGTCAACTCATCTTAAGTGAGTTTGTGATTTTTTCAATCTATTTTTCATTTTGGAGTTAAAATACAATTTTTCAAAATATAAATTTAATAACTTTTCATTGGGTATAAGAAGGAAATACTTACCATGAACTACACCCTACATTGCTGCACTCCATTCTTCATCATAACTCTCATATTCCCTCCTTGCTCTTTGCAATCCACCCTAGTGGCTTTTACACCCTTTCTTAACACACCATGGCAGATAGAATAAGCTCAACC